TCGTTTGTTGATGGGCACTTAGATTGTTTCCAACTCCTTGCTATTGTGAACAAAGCTGCAATAAACATGGGTGTGCATATATCTGCTTGGATGTCGGCTAAATATTTATTTATTTTATTTTATTATTTTGTGTGTGTGTACTGACTGGTACAAGAGGAGATTGCCCTGCCTTCTCCAGCAGAGCATCTGGTGGATTTGAACTAAGTACCTCTCGGATTGCAGTACAGCTTCTTGCCACTAGGCCACCAGAGCTCCCTGCGTAAAGCCCGTTTTTTAACGTAACGTCATAGTGTCACATGAGGTGATTGACAGTTGTCCACGCCACTCATGACCATGGCTGACTTCTCACCGCCCTGTGTGTGACGTTATCTGTGTCGTCACGAAAGCATTCCAGGTTGTGGCCCGTGTTTTGCTGTTTGCCTGATGTTGTAGGGAACACTGGGGTGTGTCTTCAGGGGCCTCTTTTGTTGAGTTGGTTTCCACTGAGGGTGACCCACGGGTGACAGAATGAAACGTTGCCCAGGCCTGCACCACGCTCTGCTGGCTGCCTTCTCACCTACATGCTCAGGCTCAGAGGACCTGCCTGTCTTCTCCGGCTGCTGTACCAGGGAGGATGTTCTTCTCCTAAATAACACGGCCACAGTACATGAGGTGCGGTCTCATCACCCTCGGTGGTGGGCAGCGTCCTGGGTGCACTACTTCCAAGACGGGTTAGTTTGTTCTTCTGACAGTTCACGGTGCGTTAGTATTCACAGTTCAGAGACAGTCATTCTAGAGACCTCCTTATCTACTGTCCAGCTGTCACATACATATGAGGCAGGTGAAAATTCAAGATCTGAGTCATGTAAGCATGCATTTTTTAGAGTATATAGCTTAGGATAGAATTGGGGGCTAATCTGGATTTAGAAGAAACCATGGCACCAGGAATATTAATTCTAGGTGTCTGATGGATTCTGGCTGAAAGCACAGAATACCAGGAAGATGTCTATATGTGTTTTACTAGCAACACAAAGGCATTTTAACTGTATGGGTCATAACAGACTACGGCTTCCGTTGAGGAGAATGGGAATCCCAGAATGCTTCATTGTGCTCACGTGAAACCTGAACCTAGACCTGGAAGCTGTTGACCAGACAGAGCAAAGGAACACTGCGTGGTTTAAAGCCAGGGAAGGTGTGCATCAGAGAGGTATCCTTTCCCTGTACCTATTCACAGACTATGGAAATAATATCATTAATATTACATACAAGCAAAATTCTGCTGAAAATGATCTAAAAATACTGGAATAGCACATCAGCAAAGAACTGCCAGATGTGCAGGCTGGGTTTAGAAGAGGCCATGATACTAGGGATATTGTAGCTAATGTTAGATGGATCTTGGCTGAAAGCAGAAATTACCAGAGGAATGTCTATCTGTGTTTCATTGACTATACAGAGACATTTGACTGTGTGGATCACAACAAACAGTGGCTAATTCTGAGAAGAATCAGAATCCCAGAATACTTGATGTTGCTTATGTGAAACCTGTACTCGAACCAGGAGGCAGTCATCAGAACAGAGCAAGGAAACACTGCATGGTTCAAAATTGGGAAAGATGTATGTTATGGATGTGTCCTGTCTCCATACCTTTTCAACCTGTATGCAGAACAGATCATCTGAGGAGCCTGGGCCTCTATGAGGAAGAATGTGGCATCAGGATTGGAGGAAGACTCATCAACAACCTGCGTTATGCAGATGACACAACCCTGCTTGCTGAAACTG